TGTATGTAGACGTATGCTTCATTGATTTTTTCTAGGATTTTAGCAATCCTGGATAATTGTGAACGATAATTCAGTTCCATGAGTGCTACTAGCGACAAGAATATTTCAAATTCGGAAACTCATTCGGTGGCAAACAAAGAAAACATATTGAAACTGCTGTCACCACCAATTGCTGATGAACTGTCTTCGATAAGCATATCGGGCGTTGATGACAATTATACCGAAAATGCGTCAACAACTCCAGTTTCATCCCAACCGCCACGCTTAGACCTAAGCAGTGGCTTTATACGACATATTGTTTATAATCAAGTGGCGAGGTTTGTTCATATTTATATTAATCGGCTACTGTGAGTGAATTGTTTTTGTGCTAATGTAATCAACTTTTAGGGTTTTTGCCGTCGTCCTGATAAATTTTGTAATGTATAAGTATGAAATATTCCTCACTGAAATTCAACATTCCAGGGATGAATATGATAAATTGTTGAAGGCGAAGAGCAATATGTCGACGGACAATGGGAAAAAATCAAGTATTAGTTTCTTTCATTGGTGTGCAAAAATTGTAGTGAAGCGTCAACTAATTATGGCCAATCAAGTTGTTAACTGAGAGTATTACTTTGAATTGATGAATTTGTGTCAGTTTTTCCAGGAAACGATCGCACTCGACAGCTCTATGTGCCTCCACATAAACGGCAACAAGTAGCAGCAACTGCACTAGAAAATGCGGATAGCGTAAAGGTGAGTTGTTTCATTAAAACATTTAATCAGTCATCAGAATATTTTCAGCTCATTTGTATTTACTTTCATGTGTTTCTTTAGTGTGTAACTTTCATGACTACGATATTTTCATTCATCTCAGGGGGAATATAACAATTGAGGTGCGGTTAATTGAACATTGACTTTTCCTGCCACATTTTTGGTTATACCAAATCTTTCAATGCCATTTTGATTTAACGATTTGCTCATTTTAATCATTTCATCCTATTTTGATGTGGCCGTTTCCTATCGATTGATTTCATCGATATCTATCGAGTAATTATCTGTTGTGTTGATTGAGAATGTTCAGAATCCGTGGATGAGGATTGCTGAGCAGGATTCACCGGAACGTTTAGCGATACGTAAACGTCTCGAAAGGGAAATGGAAAGCAAGAAAAAGATGAAAGTCGGTGATACTTTTGTAAGTAAAGCGCTTTTCGTGGTCCATTATTCGGATATAAATGGCAAGAATTTAGAGCAGGTTGTACGATCGGTTAGTATTCATTTAATTTTTGGGGTTTATCTCTGTTCATTCGGCAATCATTTTTTGATGTTGCTTTTGTGGAAGCATATCAGAGATCGTATTGTACAGTAATTATTTCTCAAGTACTAATGGGCTTTCAGGTTTAGTTGATTCAATCACCCTTTAAAGCTAACAAGAAACTAACTTATCTCATAAGTGGTTAAGGTGTGACGAAAAATCACTTATTTAATATTACTGATACAGGATGATGCTCCGGATGGATTGGCGTCAGTAATTTCGCGACGTATGGGCTTAAGTGTTGATGAATGCCACGAATTGAGTGCCTGTTTGCAATCGGAAATTGATAAGTACATTAAAATATAATAATAATAATAACAGTACTAGTGATCGTAGCGCTAATCACAATACCAGTAATCAGTTGTTAAATGTAATCTCACCAGCCAAAATAATGTACCAGTGACGTTTCTTTCATAATCTCGTTACCCTCAGTTGTTGAATTGACATGTAAATTTTGTATTAGAAATGTTATCGTTCGTCTTTCATGATGCATCATATATTGTATCATTTCTATTCATCGTGTTGCATCCATTCATACTCATTAAACGGCCAATTAACTTCTTAAGCGAAGATGTTTATATTCCGGTTGATTAGATGATGAATTGTGTATGTTGATTTATAGTTTTATATATGTGTGGTTCTTTTTGAACGAGATTCGTTCTTATTCGGGTTTTTCATCTTTAATTTCTGTTAATGAATTTTTTAATTATCAAAGAATCTGCCTGTATCGTTACGTTCTGTACAATCACCGAATCAGTTTCATTTTTCAGAAGTTGACTTTAGTCTATGCCATTGTTTGAATATTGTCAAATTTGATTTTTAAGTTATCTTATTGCACTGAACATCCACTGCAATTATGTGCTTTCATTTGTTTTTCTTGCTGTTTTCGTTATTTCAATTTTGATTTATTTACAGTTAAATTTTTACTTCATTCTCCAAATTATTGTTTTTGTTTCTTCCAGCATTGTTGAAGAAGTCGTTATGTGACCATTTTGCAAATTGTGACCAGATTTTTTTTTCGCAAATTTTTCTTACATTATTTTACATTCTGTAATTTCATTTATTTTTGTATTGTGGTATACGTTTTCGTTCGTTTATCTATATCATCGGATACTTTCACATTTGTATTTTCATGTTTCACGCACATTGTGTTGAATTCCAGTATCACAAGCTTAATACAGGAAAAGATTTTGGATCATTGTCAACGAACCTGATCGCAAGAAGAATTTTAAAGATTGTTTCGGGGCATGTGGAAGAATTATTGCGGGTAGTTGTTCTGAGAATAAGTTTATGTATTAATTTCAGTTGTATTAGGAATTAAGAGATTTCATTTAACAACCTGTAGATTTTCTAGTGGTTCCATTTCAATTATGATTACCAAATTTGTATCGCTCGTGACACGTTCGGAAATTGATCGAGCCGGCAGTGTTCGAGATATTCGCTTTCGAAAATTTTGTATACTTTGTTGATTATCGGGAAGGTCAAAGTGTTGAGATTTTCTGAAAATCAATATAAAAAACCTCCAATTAATTATGTGAGATGCAATCGAGAGATAAAAAACGAAATTGAGTGAATTCATACGTGTGCGTATGTATGTGTGTGCTATGTCGCGGACAGTCGTTTAGTATGTTTTAAATTTGCCGAATTTTATACGAATTAGAAACTAAGAATGAGGGGTATGTGTTGAAAAAGCAAACTGTTAACGAGTGCATGCGAAAGACGAAACGGAAAACATTTCTAGCACTTTCATGATATTCTCGAAAAGGTAGACGAGGGAACGGCGAGCCATGTGGCACACTTGTTTCTCGCAAAGTCACCGAACAGTCGTCAGTATTTATAGATGAGTTGTGTTCATATGTATAGAGTTATAGACCATCTCAACTGACTCTTGTGTGGTCATCAACGGTTCGTAGTTGTTTTTTTTTTGTTGTTGTTCAATGCTAGACGTCGGCACCAACTAAAACAAGAAACGAGGCGACACACATGACGAGCAACTGTGATTTGTGTGTACATCAACATTTCAACCATCATTTGCAATCACGACAGTATTATCAAGCAACCATCAGTCTCTCGCCTCACTCTCTGCCCATCCTTTATTCCTCACAACTATAGCACTATACCGTCATACGATATAGTGACTCTCATCATTTCAGTCGGAATGTTTCATTCGTTGAGTTCGTTGTTCTGTTTGATTGCTTGCTTGTGGAACGCTAAAAGAACGAATCTAACCGCTCATTTGCGATCTCCAATTTTTCACAGAATAGTATCAGCCGGGCACTCTACAGCCTGCAGCACTCGACATGCATTCAATCAACCCAACCACCTTCCACTATCACTTCGTTACACGCATTTTAACTGACTGAACGAACAGACGCACTAGTGCGTCTCATTCCCACAGACTGTCACTCCTCCTATTACAGCTACCATCACCTCAACTTCCATAATCAAAACAACAACACAAACAAACAAAAAGCACAAGCAGCATTAACATCAATAACAAGAATAACTAAATGTCACATAGCAGCAACCAGTCAGCATTTTAAATCTACATCAGTTCATCTTGTTCGTACACCACAATAGCAGCGAAGAGCAGACGTTGAGGGTGATTGATAGATAGATGGATAATGAGAGAAATAAAACAGACAGGCGGCAGGGTGAATGTGGAGAGAGTCGAGGGATCCGTTGAAGGACTGGCCGACGAGCGCGACTGTCTCACAGGCTGGACCAGAACGGCAACAACGGCTCAGCAGAAGCAGCAGCTGAATTGGTCATATCATCAAATGAAAGTGCGATCCTGACGAAAAGCAATCTCAGTAACGGTGCCGTTTTACTGCCGCGACGTCGTCGAACTATTTCAGTTCTTGCAGTTGCAAGGTTATTTTCTTTTTTCCTCTTAAAACAATTGTTCAGTTCGTTCTTCTAGTTGCAATCAGTCTTTTGACATTGTCCGAATGAGTGTTTTGCAGACAGCAAGCATATAATGTGTGATCTTTTAATGAGCTCATCACAGTAGTTCGGAGCTTATTGATCGCATGTATCTTCTTGGTCATATAATAGTGGTGCTAGCAAACGACATAATTAATTGTAGAAATACTACATA